AGGAGGGTCCTGAAAATTTTAAATTAAATCCCATTATCCAGGAGGGTCCTGAGAACTTTTAAAATTAAATCCCATTATCCAGGAGGGTCCTGAAGATTTAAATTAAATCTCATTATCCAGGAGGGTCCTGAAAATTTAAAATTAAATCTCATTATCCAGGAGGGTCCTGAAAATTTTAAATTAAATCCCATTATCCACGAGGGTCCTGAAAATTTAAAAACTAAATCACATTATCCAGGAGGGTCCTAAAAATTTAAAAACTAAATCCCATTATCCAGGAGGGTCCTGAAAATTTAAAAACATCCCATTATCCAGGAGGGTCCTGAAAATTTAAAAACTAAATCCCATTATCCAGGAGGGTCCTGAAAATTTAAAAACTAAATCCCGTTATCCACGAGGGTCCTGAAAATTTAAAAACTAAATTCCATTATCCAGGAGGGTCCTGAAAATTTAAAAACATCCCATTAGCCAGGAGGGTCCTGAAAATTTAAAAACTAAATCCCATTATCCAGGAGTGTCCTGAAAATTTAAAACTAAATCCCATTATCCAGGAGGGTCCTGAAATTTAAAAACTAAATCCCATTATCCAGGAGAGTTCTAAAAATTTAAAACTAAATTTCATTATCCATGAGGGTCCTGAGAACTGAGAATGAACTTACCTGAGCTATGCTCTCATATTTGAGGATTCTGAACATAATTTCTTGCTCCCTAAACCATGCTTTTTAATGGGAGGTCCCTGTGGATTTAAAAAATTTCTTGTCCCTGTTTCAGACAAATAAAATCCTGTTAGTTTGAAAACGTGATGGTTAGTTTGTGGCATCCTTTGCTGAGTGTCTGCTTCTGCCACTGTCATGCTTCATTCTGATTAGCTGCTTCGGGCTAGCAAGAAGTTGTTTGACCTTCTGATTGGAACTGGACCACAAAACTTCTGCATGACCTGAATCTCTCACACTCACTTGCTGCATTTTGTTTTCATTTTGAAAGTTGTTGAATCCTTGTATTTTCTTAAAATTCAAGATTCACTTAATTGCCTGAACCTCAGTTATCACCATACTGCTTATTCTAAATCAAGTCAATTGTGATATGCCTGGTCGGACTCCGCTTTGTGCAATTTAGAAGCTAGTAGTAGGCTTTGAAATCCTTTCCTGCTTGTTCAACAAGGGCTGACTCAAAAGAGACCCATAAAGATAGACTCAAAGAGCAAAGTGAAATGATTTTTGACAAAAGGAACAAAGGAAAATTTTGAGCACAGATGACTATATGAAGAAGAATGAGAAAAGAAGACTTATATGAGGGAAGCAACCAGCTCCAATGATCATGACATGCATTTCGGATTGATCAGCCTAATCCGTCCAACCAATCATATTTTCAGTTCATGTCCTGTCTTCATACTTCAAAACTGGGCTTTCACTGATCTAATTTCTCTGTAAAGTCATGAGCCTCATTCGACTTGTAGCGTCCCGAAGGGTTTTCACCTACAAGCCTCTCTCATTTTTTCATCTCTCAACTCACCATCGCTTTACGGTGCCCGCGAGTGTTTTCACCAATAAGACTTTATCATTTTAAATTTTCTCTCAACTCACCATCGCCTTACGGTGCCCGTGAGGGTTTTCACCAATAAGACTCTCTCATTTTAAATTTTCTCTCTTGCGCCCGTGAACAAAGTGTTACCCATGATGTAAATCATACCTCTATCTCGCTTGACCTGGCATCCTCAAAGATTGATCGGAAGGTCTTTCTTTGTACCGTAATGTAGGCTTTTGGACAGGGTTAGAAAGAAAGGGTGGCATGAAGGCTCAAACTAACTTAAGATGAAAATGGGTCAAAATTACAACTTTTGGAATCAAATCTTTTCAAAACCAAAACTTCTGCCCCAGTTTCTTTGTGTCCGGGGAGTTTTAATTTTTATTTTGATGGGACCGAACCGTGAGGCTGCCTATGTATCCTTAAAAGGAATCACATCAAACGTAGTTCAAAAGGAAGTTGTTTGTTTTTGTTGGTTTTCTTTTCTTTTCTTTTCTTTTCTTTTCTTTTACTTTTTTTTTCTTTTCTTTTCTTTCTTTCTTTTCCTTTTTTTCTTTTCTCTTTTTTTCTTTCTTTCTTTCTTTTTCTTTTTTTTTCTTTTTTTTTTATTTTTCTTTCTTTTTCATTCTTCTTATTTTCATTCATTCATTCATTTTTTTCGTTTTCTAATTCTGTTACTGATTTCAAGAGAGGGGTATGAAAGAAAATAAATAAAGCTCAAAAAGGGTAACAAAGGATGAAAGTGTTTGGGTAGCGGAACAAAATGCCCTCGTCATTTCAACTTTGAACATGCCAAGTACAAAATACAACTGAAGGTAAGCAAAGAAATCATACATAGTACCTCTTAACTGCACCAGAATTGATATCCATATCTACACATTTGCCTTCTATGTCTGTTAAATACAAAGCACCATTGGGCAACACTCTTGTCACAACGAATGGCCCCTGCCAGTTTGGGGCGAACTTGCCTTTGGCTTCCACCTGACGAGGAAGGATGCGTTTCAATACCATCTGGCCCACTTCAAATTTTCGAGGACGCACCTTTTTGTTATATGCTCTTGCCATTCTCTTCTGATACAATTGACCATGACATACTGCAGCCAATATTTTCTCATCAATCAAACTCAACTGCTCTAGCCGGGTTTTGACCCACTCATCATCATCAATTTCAGATTCTGCAATGATCCGAAGGGATGGAATCTCAACTTCTGCAGGTATAACTGCCTCAGTTCCATATACCAGCAGATAAGGAGTTGCACCTACTGAAGTGCGAACAGTAGTGCGATAACCCAGTAAGGCAAAAGGCAACTTTTCATGCCACTACCTAGAACCTTGAACCATCTTACGAAGTATCTTCTTTATGTTCTTGTTAGCAGCCTCAACAGATCCATTTGACTTGGGGCGATACGGGGTGGAGTTCTGATGCATGATCTTGAACTGTTGGCATACCTCTTTCATCAAATGACTATTGAGANCCCGACCTGATGTATTCCTTGATATCGTGGAACCAAGGTTCGCCATCGATTTCCTCTTCCACCATATTACAATAATCATGTTGATCATGAACTTGGATATGCACGGGGTCGATATAAGCCTTGTCCGGATGATGTAACATTGACGCCAGAGTAGCCAAGGCATCAGCAATCTTATTATGAATCCTGGGAATATGTCTAAATTCAACCGACCTGAATTGTTGACAAAGATCATGCAGGCACTGTCGGTACGGTATGAGCTTCAGATCTCGAGTCTCCCATTCTCCTTGAATCTGGTGAACCAACAAATCTGAATCTCCCAGAACAAGTATTTCCTGGACTCCCATGTCTATAGCTAACCTCAAACCCAA